GTTTAGGGGTTAGGGTTTAGGGAAAAAGCCAACCCTCCATCCCCTAAGCCGTAAAGTACACCTGACAAAACAAACCCTACCTAGACCCTAAAGAACCTACCTTTTAGGGCTCCTGATGAGGATTTCTTTATATCAGTCCTTAAAAAGGTAAGTTCTTTGGGGTTAAGGTAAGCCCTTAACCCCCACACCCAAAAAAACTAAAGCCCTATAAACCCTAGGCCCTAAACCCCTGAACCATATGCACTCCTCTGAGCTCAAGCTTGAGAGCTCGTCGTTGTCATCGGATTCGGTGGCCTCTTGCAGAGATCCCCCCCGAAAGGGGCCGTAATGCCGGGAGGTTAATTGGATGATAAGGTACCAAGAGCTCCTTGAAGGGTGTAAGGGCCTGAGTAGAAGCGGTTAGGGTTGGCCTTGATAGAACTTAAGCAATTTAGATGTTCGGGTTCAGGGCTAGGGATAATGGTTACTGTAGAGATCAGAAGTGGACTAGATTCGAAGGTCGAAAAAATTGAAAGTTAGGTCTCGGACACTAAGAGGTAGTCATCGTACTGAGAGTTCCTTGAAGGTACATATTGGCTCAAAGTGGCTTTTGCTGTTTCAGGGTACGGCTTTCTGGACAATAAGACTACTACAGAGCTGCTATGCGGGATGTATCGCCTGAGATTTAGGTCGTGGTTTTCAGGACTTAGGGTTTTACTAAGTGCTCAGCTTCACCTCATGTGATTTCTCCTGAGTGCGTTTTAAGATTTTACGATGAAGCATTCGACAAGTTTAGGCTAGGAAGCCTAGAGGCTTCGTATGAAGTAGGCCCTTTAAAACAATAGTAACAAGGATGGTCTTTCGGGACTTGATTCCATAAGGGCAGTCTAATTGGAGCCTCCGGGTACTGTATGGCTCTTGTGATTAGCTGCAAAGTCTTTTGAGTTCGGGCTTTGGTGATTACCCTAAGGCCCCTTAGAAGTCGGAGTTAAAGGAAACTACAGGTGGGGAGTTTAGGGTATATAGAGCTTCTATAAGGCTTCTATAAGGTATATAGACCTTCTATAAGGCTCCTATAACGGTAAGTGCCCACCTGAAAATGTCCTAGACTGAGTGTGGGAACCCTCACCCCCAAGCCCTACAGTATACCCTAAAACACAGAAAGCCCTAAACCCTTAAAGTGAGAGGCCTAAAAGCCTATACCCCAAAACCCAGAAAGCCTGAAGTGAGAGGCCTAGGGCAGGACATGTACGGACCTTGATTGGACGTTACAGAGCCAAGGCCACGACCGCCTGGCGGCTAGCTAAAACCTGCCTGTAGACGAAAAAACCTACCTTTTTCGGGTTCCTTGTTATGGTTTCGATACATAGTTCCGTTAAAAGTAGGTCATTTGGGCCACAGATACAACCTCCATAAACCCTAACTGAACCTTAAACCCCTTCCTTGCATACCCGAATACCCGAAGGACTTTTCAAGATCCGAGATCACGAACCCTACCTGGACCCAAAAGAACTTACCTTCAGGGTGTTGCATAAGGAAACCTTACCACGGGACCCTAACATGTAGGTCATTTAAGGATCTGGTAAACCCTAAACCCCACACCTTCTGTTCGGTGGAGACAGCGCTCGACGCATTCACAGACTCCTCTTCGATCTGCACCTTCTTGTTGATTCCGGGGTTTAGGGTTGAGGGTTTACGAGATAATCCAAGGTAGCAGTCAGTGCTCCTAAACCCTAAGCCCTACATCCCAACCCTATAAGCCCTAAACCCCGAACCAAAAGCCAAGAAAGCTTACGTTCTGCTCTTGAAGTTGCTGCTTTTCGGAAGCATTCTTTACGGGGAGTCATAGCCTGCGCTCGCAGTGTATACTGGCAAACACCGCGCTTCTATCTTTGGGTTTCGCTGCAGGCGCTCAACCCTAAAACTCTGAACCCGAAACTCAAAACCCAAAAAAGGACACCATAATAAGGACTTTCGTTTCAGGGTTTGGAACCGCCATACTGAAGACTGCAACACCCCTCAACCGAGTACTCTACCTGACATGATACAAAGGATCCTTCTATAACTTCAGGTATTAGGGTTAGGGCTTACGGCTTAGAGTTTAGGGATTCCTCAACGAAGGGGTTTGTGAGTCTCTGGAGAAGCGATCCCACACACGAAATTGTTCAGGCATCCTGGGTGTTGGTCCTGCATTTTTACGGTGGGATCCAATACTGTCATGAAGGGCTCACTATTCTGTAGGGTTTAAGGCTTCACTGTAGCTGAACCTCAAACCGCAACAAGGGCAACGCTCAGCATCTCAGACAGCCTTCCCAAGCCCCTAAACCCTAAACCCTAAACCCCATAAACCCTGTGCCCCTAAACTGTAAACCCCTAAACCCTGAACCCTAAACCCTAAACCCTATGAGCCCTAAACCTCTGAACCCCTAAACCCTATAAACCCTATAAACCCTAAACCCTAAACCCCTAAACACTAAACCCCTAAACTCTGAACCCTAAACCCCTGAACCCTAAACCCTATAAACCCAACAAACCCCAAACCCTATAAACCCGACAAGCCCCACAAACCCTAAACCGAAAGTAGAGGTTTAGATTTTATGGGAGAGGGCTCCGGGCTTGGGGAGTTTAATTACGAGGCTCTGTGAGTTTCGTGTGTGTTTCGGCATGGGCAGCCTGCCGAACTTTTAGGGTTTAGGGTTTAGGGCTCAGGGCTTAGGGTTTACGGTTTAGGGCTCTGGGTTTAGGGTTTGGGGTTTAGAGTAGTCTAAAAGCTATACCTCAAGGGTTTGAGGTTCAAGAAACTCAGGGTGGTGGAGTCTGGGGGCTTCTGGGTTTCGGGTTGAGGGTTTAGGGTTTAGGGTTTAGGGTTTACTGACCAAATGACCATGAAACTATGGTAAAGGAACCTCAAACCGTTTAGGGCTTCAGTTTGTCTTTACGGCTTAGGGGTTTAAGCTGCGACACCCTAAGGGGCCTTCATAATTAGACTAGGGTTTTGGGGCCCATTAGACTATATTCATAAAAAGGAACCCCCAAAATAGTCTAGGTTAAACCCCTAAAGCCCTAACCCCTAAAACCCAAAACCCTAAACCCCTAAACCCCTAAAGCCCTAAAGCCCTAGACCCTAATCCCCTAAAGCCCTAAACCCCAAACCCCTAAAAACCCTAAACCCTAGACCCTAAACCCCTAAAGCCCTAGACCCTAAACCCCAAAAGCCCTAAACCCCTAAAGTACAGCCCTAAACCCGCTATATTCATCCCGAATCCCGAAGCCCTGGCGTCGCAAGGGCCTGCTCGTGCAGCTTGCGCACATCTTGAACCGCCTGAGCTGGCCCCCTAAACGGTGTAGTGTTTAGGGTTTAGGGTTTAGGGTTACCCTAGACCCTAACCCCAAATAACCTACCCAGAGACTCCAATATCCCTTAATTGAGGAATATACCTTTAAGTCTGATTAGGGATCCTACTATAATTTAAGGTGAACCCCAAATAACCTACCTTTTTCAGGACTTATTCATCCAAATCCTAGGCTTGAGCTCCGAGGATTGCATTTGGCTTAGGGGTTTAGGGCCTAGGGTTTACAGGGCTTTAGGTTTTTTTGGGTGTGGGGGTTTAGGGCTTACCTTAACCCCAAACAAACTACTTTTTAAGGACTTTTATAAAGAAACCCTCATCAGGAGCAACCCCGGGAAGCCCAGTGTACAGTAGGGCTTTCACGGTTCAGGGTTCCCAGAGAACCCAATGCCCTCTAATTAAGGAAGATGCCGTAAAGCATAGGGGGCCCTAGTATTATGATTTAAACATTCCTGAATTAAGAGGTATTGGGCTCTCTGAGTAGGGTTTAGGGTTTAGGGTCCGAAACCCTACAGGTTGCGAATTCGGAGACAGCGCGGCTTAAGGCTTTAAGGGTTTTAGGGTTAAGGGTGTCAGGGTGTTAGGGTTTAGGGTTTACCTTAAGAACCCAAAACTTACTTTTTTGTAGGGTCCCGATAAATCCCATATTAGGGTTCAAAATAAGAATCTACAAAAAAGTGGGTTTTGGGTTCTTAAGGTAGGTTGCGGAGTCCCAGTTTGGGATTTCGGGTTGGGGTGTCAGGGTTAGGCCGCGATCAAAGTGCTAAAGTCCCTGAGTCCTACCTACTACCTGTAGTCCCGATTGCAGTTCCTTTAATTAATTGGTTTAGGGTTTAGGGTTTAGGGTTTAGGGTTTAGGGTTTAGGGTTTAGGGTCTAGGGTTTAGGGTTTAGGGGTTTTGGGTGAACCAAATGTATGTTGTAGGATCCTAACCATACAATTGGTTGATGTGGGAACCTGCGTAAGAAACCTTGGGTACTTATTAGGGTTTAGGGTTTAGGGTTTAGGGATTAGGGTTCCTTACAGGGATCCTGATAGATTGGGGTTATAGGGGCCAGGGTTTCTTAATCAGGTTCCTACATTAACCTCTCTTCTTCAACAACCAGGCCCAAAAAAGCTCAAGCTTCTTAGGATAGCCATACTATATAAAGCCAAAAAGTTTGAAGTTCTCCCATTGGCTATCTAAGTAACCACAAAAGGAAACTATAGGTAAACCCGCCAATCTTGCAGGCCCAGTGGGCACACACGTGAGAAGTAACAGCAGGCTGCGCGAAGGCCACTGCAACCTCAGCCGCGCAGAACAGCTTGACACAAAAAACCCTAAACCCTAAACTCTAAACCCCTAAACCCTACACCCTAAACGCTGGGGCTTTTGGGCGCCAGGGTGTAGGGTAGTAGGGCTGTGGTGCTTGAGGCTTACTTGGGTCCCTTTTTTGGGTTTCTAGGTATATAGTGCTGTAGACTTTTTGGCTCTTGGGGGGGTCAGTCGAGTGCAGGAGGATTACTGGGTTCCGAGGCGAGGCCAAAGTTCAGCACTTCGAGAGAACCCAAAACAACAGCGGAACAACGGCTTAGGGTTTCGGGTTTAGGGTTTAGTTTTAGGGTTTAGGGTTTAGGGTTTCGTTTTTTGGGTCTAGGGTTTAGGGTTTAGTTTTTAGGGTTTAAGGTTTGGGGTCTAGGGTTTAGTTTGTTGGGTTTGGGGTTTAGGGTTTAGGGTCTCCATAGAGACTCGATATCCATCAATCTTGGTTGGCCCTCGAGATAGCCACTGTTAAACTAGCTTTCGCGTTGAGGCTGGGCTTGATTGAAGTTAGGTTTGCTTTGTTGTTTAGTGCTTCTATATCAACTTTCCCTAAACCCTAAACCCTTTCAGTTTCTCAACCTAACCTGTGTGCGGGCCGCACCGTAAAACTATCGACCCGAACCCGCTGCCTTGAGACAACACCAAACTCGAGATCCCGAAACAGGCCTCCTCATGAAAGCCCTGAGCCCTCGTTATAAACCGCAAGCCCACCCTGCTTAAACACTAAACCCTAAACCCTAAACCCTAAACTGCTTAAACCCTAAAACCCTGAACCCTAAACCCTAAATCCTAAACCCTAAAACCTTAAACCCTAAACCCTGAACCCAAAAACCCTATGACCCTAAACCCTGAACCCTTAAACCCTAAACCCTCAACCCTATAACCCAAAGCCCTAAACCCTAAACCCTAAAACCTCAAACCCCGAACCCTAAACCCTATAACCCTAAACTCTATAACCCCAAGCGCTAAACCCTACAATCCTAAACCCTAAAACCTCAAACCCCAAACCCTAAACCCTATAATCTTAAGCCCTAACCCTAAACCCTATAGCTTATAGCCCTATAACCCTAAACCCTCAACCGTCAATCTGCGGGCCTAGAGTGCACCATAGGAAGACTCCAACCAGCTACCGCTGGGGACCGTGAAGCGCTTAGGGTTTAGGGTTTCAGGGTTTACGGGTTTAGGGTGTAGGGGTTTAGGGACCCGAAACTCCCTAATCTAGGGGACTTAATAAGTAGAATAAGGTTCCCTTGAAGGGTTCCCTTAAAGAGGTCCCTTAAAGGGTTCCTTTAAAGGGTTCCTTTAAAGGGTTCTATAAGGGATCTACTATAAGAGGGTTCTGGAATGTAGGGGACTTAATAATTAGAATAGGCTTCAGGGGGGGCCTTCAGCCTCTGCTGCAGTTCAATAGCTGTTGCCAGATAGTTGTCTTCGATCTGTTCTGTGCGCGCTCTCGCTTCATCCGGGCATTTCGCCTCAGTCGCTTCAATAGCTGGAAGAATCTCGTCTTTGCCCCATGATCCTATAGGAAGAAGCGTGTACGACCTTAGCACGTTCAGGGTGTCCATGCCCCCCATGTAGCCTTCTTCAACCATCCTCATGGTCGATGTCCATATTTTCTTAACAATCCTCCAGGTAGGTTCACAAATAGCTTCTTCCATCAACTTGTCGGCGTCATGTTTCGAGGCTAGATCGACGCATTCTATTCCTTCTTTGACAAGAGCTTGAGCCGCATGCCACTGACGCTTCAGGGCCTTTATGTAACTGCTCAAGCAATACTTGCATTCTCGTAGTGTACTTTGGCTCGAGCAGTCTTTAAGAACTTCAATCAGCGTGCTGATCACATCTCGTTTCAAGCTTTCCCAAGCCTGTGCAGTTTTGCTTGCTTTTAGGGTATTGCCCTCAACACATCATAGAACAAGAGGTTACTGGCTCCCCGGCTGGGCACTTTATGTAGGTTAGTGGATCCCCAAAGAACCCCTAGACTTTGTAAACCCCGAACGCCTACACCCCCACAGCCATCAAAGTACCCCTATACTTGGACCCTTAAGGTAGTCCCTAAACCCTAACGCTGCCCCTAGACCCTAAGCCCAAAGCCCTAAACCCTACACCCTCAACCCTAAACCCTAAACCCTCTAAACCCTAAAACGGAGAGTTGAGCCCTAAACCCTAAACTCTCAACCCTCAGC